GCTCTCCTCCGCTCGAAAAAGCAATCGAGTCGTCGCCGTGGAACGTCACGCGGCGTAGACGCGGAACGTAGCCTCGGAAGCGGTGTAGAATTGACCGGCCTGCGAATTCGACTCGCTCGGCAGGAAATCCGCCGACTTCTCTCATTCTCTCTTTCCCCGCCTCTTTCTCTCGGTTTTCTCCCTCCCACGCTCTTTTCTCCTCCTCTGTCTGTCTGTCTGTCTCTTTCCTTCAACGTGCTCCGTCGAAGCGTACAGGTCGCGCGCAAGGATATAATTTCATTTTCCGCCCTTTGAACGCTTTGTTTTGCGGATTATTCACGCCTCCGTCGGTTCCACGCTTGGAGATTCCTTCCCGTGGAAGAGCCTATTCTCGTAGCCTTTCGTAGCGTTATATAGCCCCGTTAACTTCCGAAACAGCCAATGGTAGCGTAAAGTGAGCACATTTATAAATTGCAAGGGCGGGTGTGTGCGTTTCAAACCCCCAGGAGTCGCCGAATACACTCTCTCTCTCTCTCTCTCTCTGCCCTCCTTTCAAAAGAGAAATATAGCGGTCAGCTGCCGGCCGAAAGGTATTTTTACAGCACGAAAGTCGACAATTCGGATAAAACATTTACTTTAATCTACGTTCGTTCCTCATTTATTCGTTCAGGGAGACTCGATGATACAAACGTCATCTTCTATCAGAGAAACCGTCCTAATTATTACAACGTGAAGCGATCGATGATGAAAACTAATTTTTTGTTTAAATTGTAACATTAATTAATTTGTAAAAAACGTGTAAAATTAATTAAATTTATATCACGCAATAATTTAAATTTCTCGTCATACTGATGCACCAAAAAATTTATTTAAAAAGTTCCTCTCACATTTTCGTATTATATTTCATACATGGCATATTGTTTCGAGTGAATTTTGATAAATTTTCCGGTTCCTTCTGTATTTCTATTTTGTTGCATATGAGATAAACATGTGAGAACCACTCATAGGAGATGCGATATTTGCAAATAGATTAGTACAATTGCTACGACGAATTTAGTGGTTTAAGAATTCAAAAAGTCAAAATGACTTAGAGAATACACTTTCTATGCGTATGAAAAATAACTCGATGCATGTTCGACGTTTGCTTCGGCAACTGTTTCGGTTGCTGCTTGGTTATCCAAGCCTCGAATCTTCAGAGGCGAAATTTTTCGCTACGAACACAGGAACTTGAAGAGTTTCTAGTGTTCGTTAACCTCAATACACCATCAAGGATTACTGGATTCAATTTTAGTCCCTGAATTTTTCTGTCTTTCACGCGGTCTTAACTATTCGTGAAGATTGATATTTCACAACTTTTATTCTTTCATAAGGAGCTTTCACGGACTAAAGAGAAGATTCTTTTTTTTCAAATAGAACGGAAATGAGTTATTTAAAGGAAAGTTTTGAAAAGAACAATTTGAGAAAAATTACCTGATGAGAGTTTCTCCAACGGGGAATAAATTAGTCTTTTAGCTTTAAAGTAGTATGAGATATATGCGAATTGAACGCGTTATTAGTGATATATATTGACGGCCAACGTGGTTTAATCCAACGACGATTTATTTGAAAGTATTTCGAATAAATGTTTGCTAATTGTTACCAAACTATTTTCTCTACTATTTGTCTGAACTATTTGTCTAATTTAGCAAGAGGATATCTCTGTGGAGCCCATCCGGAATAAAGCCAGTCACATTTCTTATTAAAAATCAGTAACAGGATCGAAATTTTCTCGTACATATTGCTAAAATGCTACTGCTGTGAATTATACGTACAGACAATTTTCTAGCGGATACAAAAAATAGCGATACATTTTACCTGCGACAGGTTTAGAATTCTAGCTGGACCAGCAAAACATTCCCCTGAGTGGAAGAAATCGACGAGAGCCCGAAGAGGGTGGGAGGGGGTAGGGGGCATTCTCCGGCCAGGTGCGAGTCGGAGATGGATCCCAAATGACATTAGACAGGCAATCCGTCGTCCCTCCGGCTGACAATCGCGCGAATGGACGTCTCGCGTAACCGCCGACGGACTTTATTCGCCGGAAATCGCACGCGCTACAATTTAAGTTACCGCGAGTTGTCGCGCCGGCCGTAGAAAACACAAAGGGGTGTCCATTTGCCATCTGATAATAATTGGAAAAGTTATCGCCGGGATGGAGTTTTGTCCGCAACTAACGTTTCCCCCCTCCTCCCGCCATCTTAGTCTCGCCGCTACCGTTTTCTTCCATGCGCCCTTCCCGCCCGAAACTATTCCGGCCCCGATGTAAAATGGAGAAACTTTCGCATCAAGGAATAACTTCCGCCGCTTTTGAATGATATTACTTCTTTCCCGCCGCGAAATTCCCGCGGAAGTGCTGCGGCTTCTCTCCCCCCCCCGACGGGGGGACTTAAGCGCGCCCAGTGATTTGTCCGGGCGCGCCCGGCTACACCGCGGCCGCGTTGTTACCGTCTCACGCGTTCCAGATAAGGTGGAGGGGAGAGAGGGGAGGAGGGAAACTTGTTGTTCGTGAAATATAGAATATTTAATCCCGCTGGATGATGGGCTTCTCTCTCGGCGGTCTCTCGTCTCCCGAAACCGTATCTCTAAGTGGCGGCACGCTTGACGGCTCCGCCCGAGAACTACGATGAGAGGCGGCCTGGAGAGAGAGAGAGAGAGAACGGAAGTACGGCCGGATGGCCAATGTGTTAAATGATAACAGTCTTCGGGAGAATCCACGAGACGGCGATCGAGGAGAGACGAAGGAGCGGCGGGACACCGGCCGACCCAGTTTCCCTCGCGGAGTCGCATTAAACTCAATCTTCGATAAAGACTTTGCGAGCGAGCGAACGTCGCGCAAGCTGGCGTTTATATTAGGGACGCTCGTTAATCTCGGCGTCGAACTACTCGTCGGATTCTACAACGGATTTCCGAAAATCGCGCGACGCTTCTCTCCTGCCGCCGATCTCAACGGTACGCTGAGTATATTTTGCTAATTTTAAACGGTTAACACTCGTAGAGTGTCGGGTTTTTAGCGGCGATATATCAAGGGAGTTGTTTCGAACGCTGAGAAAGATTGGAGGAAGCGGAGCGTCGATTCAGTTGCCTAAATTTGGTGGAGAGTCGACGCGCGGGACTGTCACGAGCCGTACGCCACGTAAGAGACCCCGTCCGGGTCGACGTCGCCCTCGTGGGTGACGCGAGCAAGTTGAACCCGAGGAAAAGAGATGTCGACGTAGCCGTACGCGATCACCGTCGATCGCTGCATCGCGCGAACATTGACGAGTTGACGCGTCATTACCGAAATTGTAAACGCCATGAAATTCTCACCCTCCCCCGAGTGCTCGAGGGGGGCGCAGCCTCCGGCGGAATTAACGATCGGCGAACGCGATCGCGCCTCCGCCTCGCTCGCGCACCGGTATTGCTGCAGTCACTCGGAACCACCGACAGTGCGGGGGATCCAATCAAACTCCGGTATTCCGGCGTGTGTCCTGCTGCCGTTGCAACGTCGGTACTGTTGTTGCTGCGCCGCGCGTTTCGCCAGAAGTGATTTTTCGCAATCAATAACTCGGCTGTGTACGCACCGCGCTCTTCCTATGCGGCGCCGCTCGCTTCGCTGCCCCCGCGGCCGGCCCCGGCATTGTAATTACATTTGCACCGCCGCGGAGCTTTCAGAATTCTCCTGACGGAATTTCATCGATCCTCCTCCCTCCCCACACTCTTTCAGAGCTTTCCCGCGCGGTTCTGCGTGTCGATCGACGCGATAGAGGAGGCTGCGTGTAGGATGAAAGACAACAACGCGCGTTGCGGCGACCGCGATGACTATATTTATTGTTTCTTTGAGCGTTTAATTAAACCGGCGCGACCGGCCGGCCGGCGAGGTGGATGAATTTCTCTTATTTCGCTCGCGAAGGGCGCCGGTTTCGATATCCCGCCAGCTGTGCGCCGCAACCGGACGCTTCTTGCGCAACGATCCCTCCTCCCGCGAGATATTATTACCCGAGAGTGGATATACACGTTGAATGTACGAGCTGTGCGCGTGACCACCGCGCGCGCGACCGGCGAACTTAACGCGTTCGCTGCGGAGGAGAAACCACACAGGCCGTAACTTATTCTTCGAAATATCACGGCACATTGGTACTTACGTAAAATTAACATTTCGTGTCGCGAATCTGTGACGCCGGGCTGTAAGAACGAGATTATCCGTACGGCGCGTGTATTTGTGCGAATTTTAAAGAATCGATGAATAATACGAAATTCGTATTGGAAAAATATAACTATGTCTGGACGCAGCCGCGCGCCGTCACACCGGCGGAGCGGAGCGGAGCGGCGTGCTCACCGAGGCATAACGCAGTACCAGAGCCAGCAGAATTTCAAAACAGCGGACATTTCCGCCGCGACGTCTACCATCGGCCGCGCGGCCGTGACGCCGCACAAACGCGCCGCATCGGTTTTTCGCGCGCGGTGTTCGCGCGCGCGACGCGCGCGCGAAAGAATCTCTCTGATGCGGCGCGACGTGCCGGCAACGCAAAAAGGAAATGCATTTTGACACGGAGCACAACCAAGCGGAAGTTTAAATGCATTTCTAAAACCACGGTGGGGAAACTTTCACAGCGCCGCATCGCGTCGTATCGCGTCGCATCGTCTCGTCGTGGGAAAAATTAAAAAATATAACTTGTTAAAGCCGTATCCTCCTTTCCGCGCGCACTTCGCCGCTTCTCGCTCGGTGTAGCGGAAAAGTTTGATCTCGTATGCGGGAAGAGAGTTCACGGGGAACGTTCCGCGCGTCGAGACCGACAAGATCCTTCGGAGACGCGGAACGGAATTTTGCCGAAATTTGTTTGGATTTTCCTCCCGCTTCTTGTCCCTCATTACGCGCAGTGCTCGTTAAATAGGATTTAAATGCCGTTCGCGCGGTCTTTTTTAATAACGAGTACCAGTCGGGCGAACGACATGAGTTGTGAACTGCGGGCATTAATTAATGTATATCATAATTTTCTTTGTTTCAGATGTGAACTGTTCCCAAAAGTATTATTGAATCGCAACGTTACGTATGGTGTAATTGGACATCGCAGCGAGGAAGGTGAGCTTCAAAAAGGCGTTATACATATATAGGGTGTCGCAAACTAACTTTGGTACCCATGGTGTGCAAGTAGAACAGGTAAAATTGAGCAGAAAAGTCCTATATCACTTTGCAAATAACGCGCAAACTGTTTAGTTATTAATTAATGAAGCCTCTGTACATGACCATCTTCAATCATCGATAACTCGAATTTTCGCGTGTTATTTACAAAATGATATAGGACTTTTTTGCTCAGTTTCACCCGTTGTACATCACGGGAATCGAGATTGATTTGGGACACCCTGTATAACATAGGCAATTACGATGTGAATACGAGAGCAGCGATTATAAATATTTCCGGGAACCGGCCGCAGTAATATCCAGTTTTGGCCAAACTGTAATCGTATTCCATCTGCGTGTGCAAATGAAGTAATACAGTACCATTTCCGGCGATTATAGATAATGATTGATCGTTCGCTTATTGAAACTCATTATAACAATAAACCGTTCTATTATTATCATGGATTTATTAACGTAATATATTAATGTTAATGAATAATTCTTTCCGTGTGATCAATAATTACATCACATATTGCGCGCGCGGTATATATATATGCAAAAGCGGCGCAATCAATTATTCATTGTTAAAGTGCGTTGTTAAAGTCTGTGCATGTATACGCACTTCGTGAATCGCGAGCCGAGCGCGAAGTCACACTTTCGCATCGCCAGACGCCACTGAACTGTTTCTCTTTCTTTCTGTTGCAGGCACTCCTGACTTATCGCGACCTTTTCTCTCCTCTACTTATTATCAGAAGCATTTCTCACTATCGCAAATACGTACCCGTAATACGGTGTCCGAATAAATAAGCGGTTATTCGTACTTTTCGAGAATCGTGATAGCTTTGTAGTGTGCAAAATGTAATTTAGAGCGAGCAAGAGAAAAAGACAAAAAAAAGTGAAGAAAGAAAGAAAGAAAAGTAAGAACGATGAAGCATACTACCTGTAATTCGTAATTGCAACGAAGTAACGTTTTTTCTCCCCCTCTTTCTACTCGACGATAGTTTTAATCGCAACGATCGATTCACTAAAAAAAGAAAAAGGAAAAGAGAAAAAAAAAGGATAAAAATACAGTTCTTCTCGGTAAATCTCTTCTTTCAATCGAAGCGGAGATCGATGTACATATAGCGAGAGTTTTGTATATTTGTAAAATAGATAGGGCATTTTATTATATATATATATATAAATATAAATATATAAATATATAAATATATAAATATAAACAATAAAGTTATTTATATATATTTTAATCACAAGGCAAGCGTACTTTTTTTCTCACATCCTGGCACGCACCGCTCGCACGATTCACCTTCCGTCCGCGTCTCTCATCGAGAGGGAGGAGATACGAGGGCGGTCTGATAAGTAGTAGGATTTACGCATGGTGGCGCCACTGCAGCGAAACCGGTTTTACCATCATATAGCCCCATCTTTCAAACAATGCCTGTCAAAATTTCAGCCATATCCGTCCATTAGTTTGTTGTTGGCAGCCGATTAAAGTGAACGCCTCAGGCCCCATTGTCGTCAATATGAAAAAAGAGCAATATCGTTTGGTGATTCGTTTTCTTTATTTGGATGGGAAAATATGTGAAAAAGTCCAAGAAAAATCGGAAGCCGTTTACGGGAGTGTTGCTTTTTCGAAAAGCACTGTTTTTAGATGATACGCCGAGTTTCGTCGTGGTCGCACGTCCGTCTTTGATGATGACCGTCCCGGACGGTCAAATGAGGTTACTACCGATGATTTTGTCGAAAAAGTGCACGATATCATATTGGCCGAGCGTTGGGTAAAAATGCGTGAGTTAGCAGACATGGTAAAGATCTCGAAAGAACGCACAGGACATATCATACATGATATATTGCACATGAGAAAGCTATCGGTGCGATGGGTGCCACGGTTGCTTGCTATGGACCAAAAACGAAATCGGGTAGTCACTTCGAAAATATGTTTGGAGCTGTTTCATCGCAATCAGGCGGAGCTTCTGTGTCGTTTTGTGACTGTAGATGGAAACGTGGGTCTATCATTATACACCAAGCAGCAGTCTAAACAGTGGATTTTCCCTGGCGGAAGAACTCCGAAAAAGGCCAAAACGGCCCCATCGGCCAGAAAAGTCATGGCTACGGTATTCTGGAATTTTCGCGGTATAATCCCCAACGATTATTTGGACCAGGGAAGATCTATCACGGGGCAAAACTAGTGATTTGCTGGGACGATTCAACCCAATTGGAGCCGAAAAAGAATGGCCTCATCTTGCAAAGAAAAAAGTCCTGTTCCATCACGACAATGCACCAGCACATTCATCCGCAATCGCTACAGCTAAACTGGTCGAATTGAGATACGAACTGCTCACCCATCCGCCGTATTCTCCAGATTTGGCCATCAGCGACTTTTTCCTGTTTCCCAACATGAAAAAATGGTTCACAGGGAAGAAATTCACGTCAAATTCGGAGGTCATCACTGAGGTAGATACCTATTTTGCAGACTTTGAACAATCATACTTTTGGAGGGCATTAAAAAGTTACAGCATCGTTGGAAGAAGCGTACAGAAGTGAAAGGGGTTTAATTTCAAATCCTACTGCTTAGACCGCCCTTGTATATAAATTCAGATGAGTTAATTAGTGCAAATTACTGCGGCATCAATTCTCGCGAGCGGTCCGACGTTGGTACAGTGGCGCGGCTGGCGAATTAATTCCATTTAAGTCGCATCGAGTCTTCGGGACTCACGGGATAGATCAACATTCGAGACGGGGAAAAATCGAGACTGCGTGTAAATATTAGCCACCTTCCGTTGATGATCGATGTGCCGTAATTGTATTAAATACAAATGTCTGCGTTCCCTCCCCGCCTCTCGTAAACGCCCATAAGCGCTCCGGGCTGCGCCAAGCGAGGCGGCAATTAGCAAAGATTATTCGCCTTGTCTCTCTCCGTCTTCTCCTTTTTTCCTTTCTTGCGAAGAGAAAAAAGCTCGAGTGACAACAATAACGGGGCGCCCTTCTCTTATCCAGAAGAACGGGTGCCTTTTACGTCCGTCTCAGTGTGGGGGCGCTTAATTATTTCTTCCCCTGACAAAGGACGGTGATGATGATTCGTTAACGGAGCTTCCCTGGACGGAGATGCCGTGAGATATCGACGTTAGCTTTATCTTTTCGGAATCGTCTTTTCTCACTCGGGACGATAGACACACCCGAGTTTCTGATAGAGCGAAGTCCGGACGGTGTACGTAAGATTTCTTTGGCATCGCGAAACGTGTTCCTAGACGATAACGTAACTTCGCCGCGACATTCTTCTTCTTTTACTTCTTCTTCCTCCTCTTCTTCGACGCTCGAGATGTCCTTTGTGCACGCTCACCGCTCATGTGTCGCAAAGAGAGACGGAAGGATGGAGGGAGGAGAGGAAGAAAGAAAGAAATTCCTGGCGCGCACGCGATTCCTCGGTCGTCGGAAGCTGTTTCGTGGGCCGCCGGGAAAAGCGAGTTTCTTACTTCTGTAATTATTCGGTCCAAACGGAGCCCGGGAAACTGCGGGAAGAGTGTACACGGCTGGCTGGCTAGCTGACGGCGTAATAACGTCCCGGGAAGAAACTTAATATCTCTAATGCCTTTGCTATCGACAACTTGGACGAGCGGGCAAGTTATTCTTTGACGAGTCGCTTTACAGATACACGCGACACACTCGAGACGACTGTCGTCGTCACGCCGCCCGCTGCGATTAAATCCACATCGGTTCAGCAACAATCGTGACAAAAGTCACATTTCCTCTTTCGCTAAGCTTTAGTCGGGATCTATAACTACAGGTGTAAAGTCCTAGTTTACAATAGATGTCTTAAGCTTTGAGCCTTAAGAAATTGACCAATCACAGTCGAATTTTAGAAAAATAATTAATTGTGATTGGTCGGTCAATTTCTTGAGGCTTAAAGCTTAAAACATTTATTGTAGACTAGAACTTACATTTATAGATCATGAGCTAGACGCTTAGCGGAAGAGGAATTGTGACTTTTCAATGTGGACCTCGCTTAATGGAGTCTTTAGACTGCTCCTAGTAATAAAATTGTAATTTCTGATAAAAGACGTTTTCCTTAGTGTCGACTTTCGTACTGTTTTCCGTTTAAATCTTAGGAATTGCTACGTCTGGTAGCGTGGGAAAACTCTTTTTGTCAGAAATCGTGTTACAATTTGGTATTGTTGTGAACGCTCAGACAGGGTGGAGGAGCGAGTGCCGATCAGTATGGAAGACGAGAACGGTCTCTCCGAGCGCTCCGTAGGAGCGCTCTTATACACCCGCCGGCGAGCGAACTAGCTCACGAGCGGATCACCCAGGCGGTGCGCCGCCTCGCGGCGAGCGCCGCTAACTGCGGCGGCAAGAGTCTAGCGCGCGCGAGACCATCTCGCCTAGCGTACTGCAACCCGGCGATCGAGCCTCGCTCGATCCGCAACAAGTACTTAGTGCAAAAGACAAAAAGCTTACTACACTTATTGCAAATCCAGTCATAAAATCCTAGATATAATTAGAGAAACGTCGTTGAAAGTATTAATTTAATTGGCTATCCGAATAACATAATTTAGGAACTATTTTGTTTGGGAACTGCGACTAAAAGGTGACTTTCACCATATTCCGATCAAGCTAATCGACGATTTGAAATTGCCGTCAGTCAAGTGTCACATGTTAGCTGTCAGTCAAGTGTCGTTTGCTTTCTGACGGAGGTAGAAATTATTAACTTTTCGATTATTGTTGAACTTGTTACAGAACATGTTATACAATTGGAAATTGGTGTTGGCAATTCTTGTTACTGTTCATCGATAAGAATCAAAATTTATTGAAAGTCATCCTAAATGAAGTGCATGCACAGGTAAGTTGTAATATTTTTTCTGCATATGTATAATCCGAAAGAAATAAAGCAAAGTTAATGCAATAATAGTTAAAATAATAGGAACAAATGTAGTATATGGTTGCTGGAAGCCCGCTTCCTCCAAGTGATCATGCAAATAGGATGGCGATTTTCGATATATCGGACACAATGACACCTCTCTATTCATATTTAGATCTCTGATACATATTTAGATCTCTGATACATAAATAACGCGCGATGCGGGACGGGAAATATTTTTTTTCCGTGAGACGCGACCTTTCGGTGGCACGAGAAGCCTCGCCGGGGTCACCCGACGCGCATGTTTTTTTCCGTACCAGTGGATTTTCGCCTGTAAGGAGACACCGTGCGAAATAATGGAACTCTCACTAAATCGCGCTCGCGACTGAAGGGATACAGCCGGTGTGTAACGAAGCCGTCTGTTTTTCGCTCGGCTCTCTTTTTTTTATGTCGATTTTATTTCAACGAGGATCCACGCGGGCGGGAATCATATTTGCCGCTGCGCGGCGCAATACATTGGCGATATATTGGAAACTTCAAAGTCGCAAAAAACGATTGTCCCTTTTCGACACGCACTCACTAGGTGCGTAAACAATTTTAGAGGGCAGATAATACAGCGGAGTCTCAACTACGGTCTATTTTTACTGAGGTCTATCTCGAAATTGAATTTCAGCGAGTACCTTGGCGGGCACTTTTCCATAAAAATCCGAAATCACTCGGCGCGAACTTTCGTCACTCGGAGAGTGCCAATAAGAATGCACGCAAGATGTCAGTTACAAGCGTTTGTACGTAACTGTGTATGTAATGATATCAAGCTGGTGAATCTTGTATATAAATGAAATAAACGTATTTATACTACTCTTGAATGGTATTCTGTACTACTCTTTTGAATCTTGCGATTTTTTTATACGGTATCTCTCAAAATTACACAATATTTTTAATTTAATGCTAAAATTCATTAGAGTACGCCCCGATTGATTTCAACTAATGAAAAACTTATGAAACGAGCACACACAGCTCCGTGGCAAGAACTCATCGAGATGAAAACCGAACAAGCGAGTCCCAAACCGGTGTGACATGTGGAAGGAGCGAACAAGCGAAAGGACAAACGGACAAATGAACGGAGAGAGAGAGAGAGAGAGAGAGAAGAGGATCGATCGATTGCGACGCAACGAGGACAGATCGCCTCCTTCGTGCACCACCACTGTGGAGCTTACCTTTTGGCTCCCGATCTCTCTCCTCATCACCCCCTCCTCTTCGTCCCACTTTCGGTTGCCATTTGTGTCGCGCAATGGAGT